TGCAGCAGCGGGGCAGCTTAGCGGTGCCTGTTGAGCCGCTGCTGCCTGCCTTTGCTGCACATGTTCGCGGCTTTAATCGCCAGCTGCAGGTGCTGCAGGGCCATTTGCTGCTGCAGCAAATGTCAGATTCGGGCGCAGCAGCAGAAGCTAGTGAAGCCACGCATTCTTGCTTCACTCCCTGCTCCTGGCATGCAGCAGGTATTAGCAGCAGCAGCAGCAGCAGCAGCAGCGTCGCAGCAAAGGCAAGGCAGCTACTGAGATATGAGGGCGAGCTGGTGGTGCAGCTCTTTGCATGGGCAGCAGACGCAATAACTGCAGCCACTCTACAGGTGAGTCGTTCGCTGTTTGCTGCTGCTGCTGCTGCTGCTGTTGCTGCTGCTATCCCCAGGAGCTGTAGCTGGTACAGAGATGAGCTGGCTGCTGGTGATGCGGCTGCGTCTTTATGCACAGGCTTCGCTGTTGCTGCCTCCAGCAGGGCAGCTTCTTGCTGCGCTGCAGCCATTGCAGCAGCAGGAGCCAGCAGCCTGCAGCAGGCTGGCTGCTGCTGCTATGCACGTGCTGCTGCAGTGCACCAACGCCGTTCGTTGGAGGCTCCGCAGCAGCAGCAACGGCGAGGACGAACTTGCTGCTGAAGTGGACGCAGAGGAGTGCGACGAGCCTGCTGCTGCCTTGGCAGCAGCAGCAGCAGCAGAGAACCGCGAAGCCACAGAAAAGCTGCTGCTGCTGCGCCGCTGGCACTCTTCGATGACTTCTCCTCTGGGGCTGCTACTGGGACATGCAGCTGAGGGTGCTGGGCTTAGTGGCAGCAGCAAAGAAAGCAACAGTGGCAGCAGCGCCAGCAGCAGCAGCAGCAACAGCAGGGGCCAGTGGGGCGTAGCGCTCGACCGGGTGTGGCTGCTGCTGTACGGCTGCAAGGAGGGCGCAAGGGAGCTGACAGAGAAGGCAGTTGATGACGCTGCAACAGCAGCAGGAGCACCAGAAGCAGCAGAGGCAGCGGCAGCAAGCAGCAGCGCAGCAGCAGCTGGTGTGCGGTCAGCTGCTGCTGCTATCTGCGCCTACTTGGTGGAGACCGGGTGGACTTTGGCTGCGCGTTGCTGCTCCTCGCAGGCGAGTGGCAGCTGCCCCTGCAGCTGCTCTGCATGCAGCAGCAACAGCAGCAGGACTGGCAGCAGCAGTAGCCGCACGGGGGCCTGCTGCAGCAGGGGCAGCGCTTGCAGCGCCTGGTGTTTGCCTGTCACGTCTGAGAGCTTTGCTGCAGTCTCAGCTGCTGCTCTGACGGCCGCGCAGCAAGCTGCTGCTGCTTCCCTTCCGCCCGCAGCAGCACCTGCTGCTGCAGCTCGCCTGCTTGACCCCCGACAAGTTGAGCTGCTGCTGCTCGATCTGCAGCTCCTGCGGGGGCACTGCGAGGCTGTAGCAGCCTGCGTGGCCCTGGCCGCGGGCGTGGCTCAGGAGGCAGCAGCAGCAAACGGCAGCAGCAGCAGCAGCAGCGGTGGGGCGGGCTTGTCTGTGTGGGCACGGGAGGTGCGCGCATTGCTGCGGGAGCCGCTGCTGAAGCGATTTGCTTCTGAGGCAAAGGCACTTGCTAGGGGGCTGCTGCTGCTGCTGGAATTTCTGCATGAGCTGCTGCGCATGCCGAGCAAGCAGCAGCAACTGCAGCAGCAACAACAAGAGGAGCAGGAGCAACAAAAGCAGCAAGAGAATGAGCCGCAGCAGCGAGACCTCAAGCCATTTCTGCACTCCGCTGTGAGCGCCACAGCCCCGACACTGCCGCAGGATGAAATTGCTGCATGCGCTCTTGCTGCCTTGGATGCTGCAGCTGCCTGCACTAACTTCCTGCAGCAGCAGCAGCAGCAGCAGCAGCAGCTCTCCATTCGCTGCGCTGTGGCTGCGCTAGCCAACGCAGCGACGGCCAAAACGGCTTTGAGGGCCTTCGGGCGCCTCGCAGTGTCGCTGGGAAAGTGGGATTGCTGCTGCTTCAGCAGCAGCGCAGCGGGAGGCAGCAGCAAGTGCTGCTTGTGGGGAGCAGCAGCAGAGACTTTAATTGGCTGCTCAGACAAAACCCCCTGGAGTGCACCCTCAGTGCAGCAGCTGCATGCAGCCCTTGGGGCTGCCGTGCAGCAGCAGCAGCCCTGTCAGGCAGCAGCTGCTGCTGCCGATCTTCAACACTACCTCGAGCAGCAACAGCAGCAGCAGCAGCAGGAGCAGGAGGCCGCGTGGGTAAAGGCACTTGAGTCGGGGCTGTTTGTTTCCGCCGTTGACTTTATTGTCGGAGCTCCGCTGTGGAGCATTTTGCTGCGAAATGCCATAGACCCAGCAGCAGCAGCAAGAGCCAATGCTGCTGCTGCACTGACGCAGCAGCTGCAAAGGCTGCTGCTGCTGCAGTCAGCTTCCTTCGCATGCGCGGTGTCTCGGATTTCCAGCCCTCCTTATTTGCTTGGCGGTTTGCTTCGCAGCCTGCAGCTGCACCCGCAGCAGCAGCATCAGCAGCAACTGCAGCAACAGCCGCAGGAACAACAACAGCAGCAACAGGATCAACAACAGTGGCAAGAGCAGCAGCAGCAGCAGCAGCAGCAAACGCCGGATTCACAGGATGCAGGCCTGCGGACTGCTGCTGCTGCTGCAACTTCTTATGATATGCTGCAGGACTGGAGCCTCCTAGATGCGCTTCTGCTGCAGCCCCTAGGAGTTGCATGCGTCGCGCCGCTTGCTGCTGCAGCAGCGCAGCAGCCGATTGCTGCTTCTGGTGCTTCCTGTGCTGCTGTTGATGCAGCTTCAGAGGCTGCTCAGTGGGAAAAGGCCCTGCGAGCTGCTGCTGCCGCATGCAGCGCCGTGAGCAACACCCCAGCAGCAGTAGCAGCAGCAGCAGCAGTTCCTGCGGGTTCTCTGGCAGTTGAGCGTTTACGGGAAGCCGCCGCAGCAGCAGCAGCAGCCAGGGGTGCAGCAGATGCGGGGTACACGTGCTGCTGCGATTCAGCGCGCAGCTTTGCTGCTCGAGGGTCGCTGGAGCTGCTGCAGCAGCTGCAGGCTTCAGCAGCACCCGAGCCGCAGCAGCTGCTGCTGCTGCTCCTCCTAGGAAGCCCGCTGCTGCCGCGAGCCGCAAGGGAAGTTGTGTGGGGCGACGAAGGGGCCCTGGTGGCCTTGGATAGAAACAGTGTGCTGCTGCCTGCTGCTGCTGCTGCTGCTGCAGCTTCAGCAGCAAATGATGCAACGGGCAAAAGCAGCAGCAGCAGCAGCAGCAGCAGCACTTGGGAAACAGTCCTGCAGTTCGCCAGCTGCATGCGGTGGGGTGTACGGACACCCGAAGACGAGTGGCTGATCTGCTGCAGCGCTGCTGCCAACTGCTTGCTGCTGTCAATTCTGTGGGGCCCAAACAGCAATTCCGAAGAAGCTGAAGCTGTGGGGCGTCAGCAGCAAGCCCACCTGCAGAGGCAGCTGGGGGCTAGCAGCGGCTTGGCCTCTGCAGCAGCAGCAGCAGCAGCTTTGGAAGCATGATCTGCTGCACTCATTGTGCTGCAGCAGCACGCTGAGTGCCACAGCAGCCGCAGCTAGGCGCCTCTAGCTGCAGGCGCTGCAGTTGCTGCCAGCAACTCGCAGCTGGGCTGAATAGCCTGCTGCTGCATGCGTCCAGCTCAATCTGCAGCTAGCTAGCTAGCTAGATAGCTGGCCAGGCAGCTAGCGTTATATCTGGCAGCATTTCTGGCTTCTGCTGCCGACCTCCTATTTTGCTGAAGCGGGGAAAGACTGAGCTAGTCAAACTGTGTCTTAGTGTGGACGGAGGAGGCTGTCTTGCTGCTGCTGCTGCTGTTGCTGCTGCTGCTGCTGCTGTTGCTGCTGATCTTAGAGCCTGGCTCGAGGCTGCTGGGAGGAGTCAAACCCACGCAGCTACGGGCCCCCAGCCTCTGTAGTTACTGAGTTCCTATTCCACGTTTGTATCTTAGGAAAAGTACTTAGTAGTTCTTACTGGAGTGCAGCAGCAGCAGCAGCAGCAGCAGCTCTTTCTCCCCTCTTGGCTGCCTAATATAATGCGTTGCGTCTTCCATTGCCTCCTGCTGCTTCTGAACCTCTAACTGCTGCGGCGCGCTGCGCCAGCAAACATGCTGCTGCTGCTGCTGCTGCTGTTTGCTGCCAGCAATTTGCACTAGCCTCAGAAGTGAAGACTACCTGCGCGCTGTGCTGCAGCGGAGCTGTGTCGCGCAGCTGCAGGTGCGTCGGCTGCTGCTGCTGCTGCAGCTGGCAGCAGCAGCTAAAGGCGAAAAAGTTGAAAAGTGAGATCCAGGGGGCCTTCAGTCCTCCACCCAATATCGGGAGGTGTACATACACTCCGAGCTGCAGCAGAACGCCCCCTGCGCCCGGCGCTGCTGCAAGGGGAGCTTCTGGGGGGCCCCGAGCTTAGCACACAGGAATAAGCGCCTTAAATGTTGTTAAATTAAGTAAAAAGAAAAGTAATTGATTAAAATTGTTTGCAAGAGAGCTAGCTCTGGAGGCGCGGCGGCGTTTCGCCTCCGGGCGGCAGGCGCAGCCGGGCGGAGCAGCAGCCCGGGCGTCGCCGACGGGGCGTTTGCTGTTGAGGGGATTTTTGTTGAAATAAATGCGGAAATGAGTAAATATTATTCGAAAGGAGCAGCAGAATCGGGTGTGTTTGCAGCTAAGGAGAGCAGCAAGACTGCGTGGCTGCGGCCTGCAGCGCGGTGGATCGATGCGGCGGAGCCCGGGCTGGGGCGTCGCCCTTCAGACTTCGTTTTCTGCAGTTTCTGGACCTCTGAGGCTCTCAAATATGTCCAATAAAAGATCCTTGTCGTGTCGGGGGCCCCCTGGGGGCCCCTGGGGGTGGGGGCGGCCGGAGTTGCTGCGCGGGCGCGGGTGTGTCTGTGTGCTGCTGCCGCTGCTGCTGCTGCAGCCGCTCGCCGCGGCCGCAGCAGCAGCAGCAGGGCCTGCCGGGGCCCCCGGGGCCCCCCCCGCGAGCCCGCGGGGCCCCCCGCCCCTGAAGCCCGGCGCAGTGTGCAAGTCCACCCTGGACCCCAGCGGAAACCCGCTGGAGGAGGCGCTGGCGAGGGGCCCCCCCCCCCCCGCAGGGGCCCCCCGGGGGGCCCCCCCCAGCCACCCCGCGTTCGCAGTGGCCTCGGACCGGCTGGTGGGGGAGCTGGGGCTGCGGGTGACGCAGTACCTTCACAAGGCCTCGGGACTTGAAGTTTGGAACTTGGAAAGTGAAAAAGAAGAAGAAGAAATGGCATTTAACATTTGCTTCCGAACTCCCGTGTCGGACTCGACGGGCGCTGCGCACGTGCTGGAGCACGCGGTGCTGAACGGCTCGGAGCTGTTCGCGCCCGCTGCAGCAGCAGCAGCAGCAGCAGCGGCGCCGGGCTTCCTGCTGCTGCAGCAGCGCAGCCTCAACTCCTACGCCAACGCCTGGACCTGGCCTGACCGCACCTGCTTCCCCTTCGCCTCCTCCAACTCCAAAGACTTCCAAAACCTCCTCAGCTTTTACCTCAGCTGCGTCTTCAGGCCCCTGGCCCTCGCCCAGCCCCACCACCTGCGCCAGGAGGGCTGGCGCTACGAGGCCGTCCCCCGCAGCAGCAGCAGCAGCAGCAGCAGCAGCGGCAGCAGCAGCGGCGGCGGCGGGGAGGGCGAAGCGGCAGTGGACTGCGAGACGTCTCCGGAGCTTTGCGAGTTGGCCTTCGGGGGCGTGGTCTACAGCGAGATGAAGGGAGTGTGGGGTATTGCTGCAGCAGCAGAAGAGCTGCAGCGGCTGCAGCAGCTTTTTCCCGCGCTGCAGACCTACGCACAAGTGGCTGGCGGGAGGCCCCCCGACATCCCTCTGCTGCAGCAGGGGGCCCTCGCGGCTTTCCACAGGGCCCTCTACGTGCCCCGCAACGCCTGGATTACCTTCTTCGGGGGCCCCCGCAGGGGCCCCCAGGGGGGCCCCCCCCTCGACTTCCTCGACAAGTTCCTCACCCAAAACAAAATCTACTCTCCCCAACCCCCCCAAGTCGTCGGCGTCCAGCACTCCTTCAAGGGTAATCCGCACAAAACACATTACCAGGGGGCCCCAGGGGGCCCCAGGGGGGCCCCAGGGGGCCCCGGAGGGCCCCTGGGGGCCCCGGAGGGCCCCCAGGGGGGCCCCAGGGGCGCCCAGGGGTGGACAGCGGGGATCTGTATGATGGGGTTAAGGAGGCCCCTATAGGGTCAAAGGGGCCCCTAGGGGGGCCCCTACGGGGGCCCCTAAGGGGGCCCCTCAGGGGGCCCCTAGGGGAGCGTTTAGTGGGGCCCTTAGGGGGGCCCAGGGGGCTTTTAAAGGGGCCTTTCGGGGTCCCAGGGGGCCCCTAGGAGGCCTACAGCTTTGTTTGGGTATAAGTATTTATATTAGAAGGAGGGGCCCCCAGGCTGCCAGAGTGCTGAAGGGGGGCCCCCCTGTGGGTATCTGTTAGCCTGCAGGTCTTTTTGTATCTTTTTGTTTCGTTTTTTTAATCTTTTGTTTATTTTTTGTCTTTCTTTGTTTCCTTTTGTTTCTTTATTTCTTTCTGAATTTCCTTTAATCCGGTTCTGTTTCTTTTTGTTTCCGTTTGCCTCTTTTCGCCTCATTTGCATCTCATTTAGTCAATTTGAGTTCAATTTTTTCCATTTTCGGATCATTTTCCCGCTTTTTTCCTTTTCCTTTCTTTTATCCCTTTTTAAATTTGCTGCCTTTTATCTTTTCTGTTCCTCTTCCTCTTCTTCGCTTCCTTTATTCTTTTTCAAATCTGCTGCCTCTTATCTTTTCTGTTCATTTTCCTCTTCTTTGCTTCTGCGCAGCCCCCGTGTACGCGGAGTTCCCTTTCGCCTCTTTAGCAAAAGACCCCAAAGACCTCATCAGCGTCAGCTGGGTACTAAATCCGTGCCCTGCGCCCCCCTCGGGGCCCCCCGAGGGGGGCCCCCAGGGGGCCCCCGAGGCGGGGGAGTGCCCCGGGGGCCCCGGGGGCCCCGGGAGAGTGGCGCTGCAGGTGCTGGATCAGCTGCTGCTGGGGTCTCCAGCATGTTTGCTGCGCAAGGCTTTGGCCCAGAGCGGGCTGGGGCTGGCTGTGTATGCCCCTGGGCTGGACTTGGATCTGAAATATGCGCAGTTCACTGTGGGGCTGAAGGGTCAGCGACCGCTAACTAGCTAGCTAGCTAGCTAGCCAGCTAGCTCGCTGGCTGGCTGGGCGGGTAGCTGACGGGGCAGATAGGTGGCTAGCTGGGTAGATGGTGGCTAGCTAGCTGGGTTTAGGGGTATCTGGCTGGGTAGATGTGTTTTCGGGTATATGGATGACTGGGTAGATGGCCAGCTAGCCACCTAGCTAGCTAGCTAGCGAAGTGGGTGCATAACTAGTCAGCAAGTAGCTAAGCAGCCAGCTAGCCAGCCAGCTAGCCAGCTAGCGAGCCAGCTATCCAGCTAGCTAGCTAGCTAGCTAGTTAGGTAGCGGGGAGCGTGAGGTGATCTGATTGAGGGTTTTGTTGCTTGCTGCTGCTGCACTTTGCGCGCAGAAGTGCAGCAGCAGGAAGGCGCAGCAGCAGCAGTGGAGCGTTTGGTGCTGCAGACTTTGGAAGCAATTGCTGCTAAGGGATTTTCTGCTGCAGAAATCGAAGCAGCTTTTAACAAGGTGGACTTCAGCTTGAGGGAAACTCCCCGCAAAGAGCTCCCCAGGGGGCTCATCTTCTCCCAGCGCATGGCCCAGGAACTCAACTACAACAGGGTCCTGCTGCTGCTGCTGCTGCTGCTGTGCCTGCAGCAGCTGCTCCGGCCACTGCAGCTGCTGCTGCTGCTAGGCCTGCTGCGGTTGTTGCTGCTGCTGCTGCTCTTCCTGCTGCAGCTGCTCTTGCTGCTGCAGCTGCAGCTACTCCTGCTGCTGTTGCTACTGCTGCTGCTGCTGCGCCGAGCCCTTGGAGCCGTATTTAGAGCTGCAGCCAAACTGGTTTCTCTGCAGATTTTGGAGAATGCATGCAGCTGCATGCATGCAACTGCATGCATGTAGCTGCATGCAGCTGGAGGCTTTGGGGCTTTTGCTGCTGCTTCCTCCGCAGGACCCTTTGGGGGCTCTCGAGTTTGAACAGGATATTTGGCGGCTGCGGGAGCGGCTGGCAGCGGGGGAAAAGGTCTTCGAGAATATGGTCAAGGAGTAGGGCCTGCTGCTGCTGCTGCTGCTGCTGCTGCTGCTGCTGTCGCTCCCGTTCTTGGGGCCGTTGTTGCTGTTGCTGCCGCTGCTGCTGCTGCCACGAAACCAGGCGCTGGTGGCCTTCGGCTGCTGGTGTTTCTGCCGCTGCTGCTGCTGAGAAGGCTCGTGCGCCGCTGCACCGGCAGCCAGTAGCAGCAGCAGCAGCAGCAGCAGCAGGACGCTGCTTTTTGCGCTGAGCAGCAGCTTTGGCTGCTACTGGTTTTGGTCTTTGCAGACTTTTGCTGGAGAATCCCCACCGCGTGACTTTGCGCATGAAGAGCAGCGCGGAATATGCAGAGCAGCAAGCAGCAGAAGAGAGAGCAGCACTGACAGCAGCAGAAAAGGAAATGGGACTCGAAGGAATTCGGCAAGTTGCCAGGGAACATAAGGCCCTCAAGCTGCTGCAGGTGACCCCCCAAACACAGCCAGACTGCAGCAGCAGCGGCAGCAGTAGCAGCAGCAGCAGTTGCAGCAGCAGAACGGACGCCGGGAAGTAGAGCATGAGTAAACTACAGCAGCAGGAGCAGCAGCAGCAGCAGCAGAGAGGCAGCAGGTGCGAAGGTTGAGCAAACTGAGGAGAGTTTTGGGGTGTCTAGACATCTTGCTGCTGCTGCAGTCCGTTTGCTGCAGGTGACTCCTCCCCCTCCAGAAGCTCTCGCGTCTTTTCCGAATCTTGCAAGAGAAGACATTGACCCAGTCCGCCATTCGCTTGCTGCTGCTGCTGTTTTGCTGCTGCCGCCGCCACTGTACTGCTGCTGCTGCTGCTGTCTTGCTGCTTCTGCCGCTGGTGTAGTGCTGCTGCTGCTGCTGCATTCGCTGCTGCTGTTTCACTGCTGCTGCTACTGTTTCCCTGCTGCTGCTGCTGCTGCTGCTGCCTCGCTGCTTCTACCGCTGCTGTAGTGCTGCTGCTGCTGCTGCTTTCGCTGCTGCTGTTTGCTGCTGCTGCTGTTTCCCTGCTGCTGCTTCTGTTTTCTGCTGCTGCTGCTGCGTGCGTGGCAGCAGCAG